GCGCTCTTTATTTGGGATCTTAGTAAATCAGGCCCATAGTAACATGTGATGACACGTGGTGACACGTGGTGACACGTAATAACACGTAGTAACATGTGATGACACGTAGTGACACGTGGTGACACGTAATAACACGTAGTAACACGTGATGACACACAGTGACACGTGATGACACGTGGTGACACACAGTGACACGTGATGACACGTGGTGACACGTGGTGACACGTAATAACACGTAGTAACATGTGATGACACGTAGTGACACGTGGTGACACGTAATAACACGTAGTAACACGTGATGACACATAGTGACACATGGTGACACGTAGTGACACGTAGTGACACGTAGTAACACGTAGTGACACATAGTAACACGTAGTGACACGTAATAACACGTAGTAACACGTGATGACACATAGTGACACATGGTGACACGTAGTGACACGTAGTGACACGTAGGGACACGTAGTAACACGTGATGACACGTAGGGACACGTAATAACACGTAGGGACACGTAATAACACGTAGTAACACGTGATGACACATAGTGACACGTAATAACACGTAGTAACACGTGATGACACGTAGTGACACGTAATAACACGTAGTGACACGTAATAACACGTAGGGACACGTAGTGACACGTAGGGACACGTAGTGACACGTAGTGACACGTAGTGACACGTAATAACACGTAGGGACACATAGTAACACATGGTGACACGTAATAACACGTAGGCACACATAGTAACACGTGGTGACACGTAGTGACACGTAATAACACGTAGGGACACATAGTAACACGTAGTGACACGTAGTGACACATAGTAACACGTGATGACACGTAGTGACACGTAATAACACGTAGTGACACGTAGTGACACATAGTAACACGTGATGACACGTAGTGACACGTAGTGACACGTAATAACACGTAGTGACACGTAGAGACACATAGTAACACGTGATGACACGTAGTGACACGTAGGGACACGTAGTGACACGTAGTGACACGTAGTAACACGTAGTGACACATAGTAACACGTAGTGACACGTAATAACACGTAGTAACACGTGATGACACATAGTGACACATGGTGACACGTAGTGACACGTAGTGACACGTAGGGACACGTAGTGACACGTAGTGACACGTAGTGACACATAATAACACGTAGGGACACATAGTGACACATAGTGACACGTAGTGACACGTAATAACACGTAGTGACACGTAATAACACGTAGGGACACGTAGTGACACGTAGGGACACGTAATATCACGTAGTGACACGTAGTGACACGTAGGGACACGTAGTGACACGTAGGGACACGNGTAATAACACGTGATGACACGTAGTGACACGTAGTGACACGTAATAACACATAGTAACACGTGATGACACATAGTGACACGTGGTGACACGTAGTGACACGTGGTGACACGTAGTGACATGTAGTAACACGTGGTAACACGTGGTGACACGTGGTGACACGTAATAACACGTAGTAACACGTGATGACACATAGTGACACGTAATAACACGTAGGGACACATAGTAACACGTAGTGACACGTAGTGACACGTAGTGACACGTAGTGACATGTAATAACACGTGATGACACGTAGTGACACGTAGTGACACGTAATAACACGTAGTGACACGTAGGGACACATAGTAACACGTAGGGACACGTAATAACACGTAGGGACACATAGTAACACGTAGTGACACGTAGTGACACGTAATAACACATAGTAACACGTGATGACACATAGTGACACGTGGTGACACGTAATAACACATAGTAACACATAGTGACACGTAGTGACACGTAATAACACGTGATGACACGTAGTGACACGTAGTGACACGTAATAACACATAGTAACACGTGATGACACATAGTGACACGTGGTGACACGTAGTGACACGTGGTGACACGTAGTGACATGTAGTAACACGTGGTAACACGTGGTGACACGTGGTGACACGTAATAACACGTAGTAACACGTGATGACACATAGTGACACGTAATAACACGTAGGGACACATAGTAACACGTAGTGACACGTAGTGACACGTAATAACACATAGTAACACGTGATGACACATAGTGACACGTGGTGACACGTAGTGACACGTGGTGACACGTAGTGACATGTAGTAACACGTGGTAACACGTGGTGACACGTGGTGACAGTAAAGGCGTGTTGAAGAAGATCACCAGGAATAATGTGAAAGATTTTTTTAAAGCAGAAACTGTCCATAGAAAAGAAAATGAGTCACAAATGTGACAAATGAAAACAGTCGCCTCTCTTTGTTGTATAAACTATGACTGAACTTACCTGTTGTTGTGTGTTGTGGCGTCAGAGGCGTGGCGGGGCGATGACCTGGGTCAGGTGGCCGTGGAGGAGCAGAGTCTGGAGATGCAGAGCTGTGCCACCAAACTGTCGACCATCAGAGAAGTTCTGCTCAGGAGACACATGAAGGTGGCGTTCTTTGGCAGGTCGGTCAAACACACTCTACACTGTACATACATCACCTGTCATGTTAGTGTCACACTCCTGAGACCAACAAAGATATTAATATATAAATCATCAAATCAAATGTTTACTATAATGAAGCATCTTTATTGCTCTGTGTCGGCGACAGAGCAGCAGCCATTTTGTTTTCAGGTCGTCCGTCTCCTTCTCCTTAACACAATATCTCAGTAACACCTTGACAAACATTCACTTGGATTCAAGGATGAACTGATTAGACTTTGGGGGTCAAAGGTCAGAGTGACCTCAAACACTTTTTAGCCATTACTCAAGACTTCCATCAGAAGATATAAAAACCATCTCAGTGTAGTTTTACATCTCCTCTCTCAGGCTTCTCTCTGGAGCTCTAGTAACAACAGGTCGGTGAGCCAATCAGAAGAGAGGAGGCTCTGAGCCTCTCCTCTGATTGGCTGACTGTTTTCTGAGTGATCCAATAAAAATATAGCAGATTTCAGGTAAAAACACTCAGAGAAACCAAATCCTGCAAGGTTTGGATGGTGGGTCCAGGTGGGCGGGGCTTGGTGACTGCTTTGTTGTGACATCACAAAGTTCCAGAACCTGAAGTTTATTTCTTCACTCAGATTAAAACACATGGTGAGTTTAAAGTGTCATTGTGACTGATTCATGATGCTCTTAAATATTTGGTATTTTCCATCACAGCTACAAACCTGACTGAAACTGACATCACACAGACTATATCACCACATAGTCAATCAATAAATGAATTGACTGAATCAATCAATTGTAATTTCTGCAGAGCTCAGGAAGAATCTCTCAACCCTCCACGTTCAGTTTATTGTCATGTGACAGAAAGAAGCTGAAACCAGAGAAAACTGTTTAACTGGAAACGATTCATTGATTATTAAAACAATAGATTCTTTTCTGTGGATAAACTCATCAATTAATCAACTCATCAATTCATCCTGAAATAAAAGAAGAAAAATAACAAAACAGTCAAATTCCTCATGGAGAATATGGAGTTTATAAAAGACCAGTGTGTGTGCACTGTGAGTGTGGAGGTGGTGAACTGAGCGCGCTCAGTGGCGGCTGTGGCCGGACGTCTGCTACCGGCTCTGATTGGTGTGGAGATCTGAGAGATCTGCCAACAGACGAACAAACTGTCGCCTCAGATAAACTTTATCAGTGATTCACAAGCTGACCGTCACAGTGACACGGATCCAGAGGAACGTGCTCCAGGGGCGATGATGTAATAACAGTCAGATGATGCAATCAGCCTGATGATGTAATAGCTCCTGAGAAACTGAGTTTCCCTGTAAAAGGCCTGAAATCCTGATAAGCTCATTTAAAGCTACAGAAAATATGAACTTTCAGTTTGAAGCTGTTTCAGGACACTTTTTATTTTTCCTCCGCGCCGGCAGCCATTTTGTTTTCAGGTTGTCCGCCTCATTCTCGTGACACGATATCTCAGTAACACCTTGAGGGAACTTCCTGAAATGTGACGCAAACATTCCCTGGGACAAAGGTCAAAGGTCAAGGTCAGTGTGACCTCAGAAAACACTTTTTAACCATTACTCAAGACAGTTATAACAAACACACAAATGGTTGATATTCTCTCTGACTCTGGATAAACAGCATGTGACCTGGAACTAGTCTGAGCGGTGGAGGGATACGACCACGAGGAGGTGATTGTAGTTGCACTCTGACACTGTAGGACATCGTCCTCAATGTTTCTATAGTAAAACTGATGGTTTGTGAGTCAATGACTCTGGAGCTTATTATAACAGGATCAAACTTTAAACTCAAAGTCTAAATGTCAGTCAGCTGATCAGGGTCAATGGGAGTCACCTCTTCTAATTCATTATCAAATGTTAATCAGTAAATAAATCTTCTGTAACTTTACTAACCTGCCCCATCAGGACTGTGTGGGTGTGGTCTGATCAGAGGTGATTGACAGTCTGATTAGTTCATGCACGGACGTGTCATCACCACATGACTGGGGCTCCAGGTGAACAGTAGCTCACCTGCTCTCTCTGCTGCTTCAGGACCAGTAACGGGAAGAGCACCGTGATCAACGCCATGCTGAGAGACCGCGTGCTGCCCAGCGGCATCGGACACACCACCAACTGCTTCCTGAGGGTGGAGGGGACCGACGGCGACGAGGCTTACCTCACCACCGAGGCGTCCAATGAGAGGAGGAGCGTCGCGGTACGTCACAGACAGGTCTTAAAGGGACAGACCCACATTTAGAGTCCAGACTGAAGCTTCTTTAAAAAGTGGAACTGTTCCTTTAAATTTCATCATTCTGTCTGTTCTGTTGATGACTGTCATAACTCAGCCTTCCTGCTCCTCCTGCCCCCCCCCCCCCCCCCCCCCCCCCCCAAGACTGTGAACCAGCTGGCTCATGCTCTCCACATGGATCCCACCCTGGACTCCGGCAGCCTGGTCAAAGTGTTTTGGCCTAAAAGCCGCTGCGCTCTGCTGAGAGACGACCTGGTGCTGATGGACAGGTAACTCTGTCTTTACCTGTCCAGGTGTCTCCTCCTCGAACCTCGGACCATCAGTGAACACGTGGTTAGTTAAAGGGTGAAGGTGTGAAGCTCATCACAGAACAGGGATAATGTCTCCTCAGCTGAGTTACTCAAGTGAATATCTTAAAAAAGTTTCCTTAGTTTAGGAAAAAACATTTAGGCATTTGCAGCAGTGAAAGAGATTTAAACACTTAAACACTGAAGTAAACTCTGTGTGCTCTGTGACCTTTGACCCAGCCCTGGGACAGATGTGACCCTGGAGTTGGACAGCTGGATCGATAAGTTCTGTCTGGACGCCGACGTCTTTGTCCTGGTGGGAAACGCAGAGTCAACGCTGATGAACACGGTGAGGAAACACGTTCGTCACCTGTCGACTGTAACGTGACGAACGTTCTTTATTTATTAATTATTGATATAATTATTATTTGTCATATTTGTCTCCTTCTGTTTTCAGGAGAAACTTTTCTTCCATAAAGTCAGTGAGAGAATTTCCAAACCGAACATCTTCATCCTCCACAATCGATGGGACGCCTCTGTGACTGAGCCCGAGTACATCGAGGAGGTGTGTGTGTGTGTGTGTGTGTGTGTGTGTGTGTGTGTGTGTGTGTGTGTGTGTGTGTGTGAAAACCTGACTAAACTCAACTTTTCTGCAGCTACTTCACAATAAAAGCCTCAACCAGCTCTCTGCTTTTAGAAAGCTTTTATTGTGAAAAAGGAGCAGGAAGTGGTGATTATATTAACATATTCATGTTCTCAAACTAAACTGAACAGGAAGTTACCTGTTAATTGTTGGTACCACAGTGACAGAAAATCCTGCCCTGTGATTGGCTGACAGGTGTCACCAAGTTTACTCAGCACTTTTCTGAGAGCTTCACATCAGTGGTGCGATAAAGAAAAAGCCTTAATGAGTAAAAGTGAAATCTGAAATGACAGCAGGTGAGATCAGCGTAAAACTGTGGAGTCTCCACCCCCTGCTGTCCAGGTGAGGAAGCAGCACCTGGACCGCTGCGTCAGTTTCCTGGCCGAGGAGCTGAGGGTGGTCGGTCTGGACGAGGCTCCAGGGAGGATCTTCTTCGTCTCAGCCAAAGAGGTCCTGAGCTCCAGGATGCAGCGAGCGCAGGGCATGCCTGAGACAGGTGAGACAGGTGAGACAGGTGAAGGACAGCAGGAGGAGTCTCCTCTTGTTTCAAAGACAGCAGCAGCTGTTACAGCCTCAGAGAGGAGACAGGTCTCAGATCAGCCTTAGAGACTTTTCTATGTGTAGAGTTGAACCTGTCTGCAGGTGACATGTCCATCAGTCAACAGTTGTTATTGTTTATTATTTATTTATTTATTTATTATCATAATCATCAGGAGAAGTCTCTGATAACCACAGATCCCCGACACCTTGAATCAGTCAGACTTTTAAAATTAAAGATTATAAAAAATATCTGTTTTTATCTGTTTTATGTAGTTAGCATCTTTTCTTTGTTGATGTTGTTTGTTAGCTTCTAACTGGCAGTGGCTGACACAGTGTTAGCGGTTGTGCTAATGCTAACTCTCTCTCTCTGTACTGACCATGTTTCAGGTGTATTTAGCCCCGCCCCCTGTTGACAGGATTGGTTCCTGAGGTTTGTGACGTATGAAACCCTGGTTCTGTGTTTATGAGACTGTCATTGGTTCACTGCAGCTCAAGGTGGAAACACATAGTCATGGTGCTGATGATTATAAACGTGGATGTTAACGAGGTGAAACAGCTGATTTTAGACTCACTGTGAAGTAGTTGGATGGTGAATGTCGTACTGAACTTCCTGTGTGGTGCTGCAGGTGGCGCTCTGGCTGAAGGTTTCCACGACAGACTCAGAGAGTTCCAGAGGTTCGAGCGGACGTTTGAGGTACAGGATTAATGAGCCTCACCTGTGTGATGTGTTTGATGAGGCTGGTGTTTGGGCTGAGCCGTGACCCTGAACGACCTCTGACCTCTGCAGGAGTTCATCTCCCAGTCTGCGGTGAAGACCAAGTTCGAGCAGCACACGGTGAGAGCGTGGCAGATCACTGAGGCCATCAAAGCTGTGATGGACGCCATCAACATCGCCTCCGCTGACAGGAAGTGAGGGACACACACTAACCAGCTCTTTAATAATATCCTTGTGTGTGTCTGCGTCTCACTTTGACCTTTGACCTCTGACAGGATCTTCTGCCTGGAGGAGCGAGAGGAGCAGAGGGACCGGCTGGACTTTGTCCGAGGACAGATCAACCGTCTGACCGACAACGTCAAAGAGAGGATCAAGAGTCTGACTGAGGACGTCTCTGCCAAGGTGAAGATGCTTCACAGCAGGACAGACACTGAGACAGAGACACCGAGACAGAGACACCGAAACAGAGACACCGAAACAGAGACACTGAAACAGAGACACTGAGACAGAGACACTGAAACAGAGACACCGAAACAGAGACACTGAAACAGAGACACTGAGACAGAGACACTGAGACAGAGACACTGAAATAGAGACACAGAGACACTGAAATAGAGACACTGAAATAGAGACACTGAGACAGAGACACTGAGACAGAGACATTGAAACAGAGACACTGAGACAGAGACACAGACACTGAAACAGAGACACTGAAATAGACACTGAGACACTGAGGACACACACAACTGCAGGAGTGATGTCATCACCTGCACTAACACACATAGACACAGTGGAGAGAGAGCGAGAGCTGGTCGCTGACTTGAACTGTGTCATGTTGAAACCATCAGAACATTTGACACTGTGCTGCAGTGAACTCGAGCTGATGTCTCACAGCAGCTCGTTGTGTCGTCAGGTGACCTCAGCTCTGTCAGATCAGATCCGATCACTTCCTGTTCTGGTGGAGGAGTTCAGAGCCGACTTCAACCCGACACAAGAGACGCTGCAGCTCTACAAAACAGTGAGTCTCAGAGACTGGAAACAGAAGGGACAGTTAGCTTAGCACGAAGACTGGAAATGGGGAAACTGTTAGCCTAGCTTAGCATAAACACTGGAAACAAGACGAAACTGTTAGCCTAGCTTAGCGCAATGATTGGCAACATGGGGAAATTGTTAGCCTAGCTTAGCACAAAGACTGCAAACAGGGGAAATTGTTAGCCTAGCTTAGCACAAAGAGCGGAAACTGTGGGGGACTGCTATCCTAGCTTAGCATAAAGACTGGAAACAAGGGAAAACTGTTAGCCTAGCTTTGCACAAAGACTGCAAAAAAGAGGAAACTGTTAGCCTAGCTTAGCACAAAGACTGGAAACATAGGGAAACTGTTAGCATAGGTTAGCACAAAGACTGGAAACAAGAGGACACTGTTAGCATAGCTTAGCACTGTACTGTACACACAGAGATGAAACTCTGATGTCTATCTGGAAGATTTCTCTAAATGTTGGACTGATCCTTTAAACCTGTTTCTGTCACCTTACCTGACCACACCTGAATCTTGTAATGCACACACACATACACAAACACACAAACACACACACACACACACACACACACACACACACACACACACACACACACAGAGAGTTAACTGGATTTTAAGTAAAGCAGATTAATCTGTTGTTAGTTCCTCTGAGGAGTCTGAGCTGCTGCTTTTGCTCCTCAGAAGCTGCTGCAGCACGTGGAGGAGCGGATGGTTGGAGGTTTGTGTCATCGCTGCTCGGTCAGTGTCCTCAGAGACATCACAGACGCCCAGAGACACATGATCGGTAACAGCAGAGTCACTTCCTCTTCCTCTGCGTCCGTCGACCTCCACCTGATTCTCTGCTTGTTTCTCTCTGTCCTCAGACAGCGTCCGTCCTCTGCTGTCTCTGTCCGTCCAGGAGCAGCTCTCCGCTCCCTCTTCCTCCTCCTCCTTTGAGTTGACCTACGACCTCGGCCTCGCCGCCCTCTGTGCAGATTTCCAGGAGAACATCGAGTTCCAGTTTTCTCTGGGCTGGACCGCCCTCGTCGCTCGCTTCATCGGAGCTGCCAACGCCAAGCGAGCGCTAAGCGGCTCCGACCCGCGGCCGCAGGTCAGCTGACCGACATTACATCTGTCACTGACGTTAAACCAGCTGCTGTAGAGGAGAACACACTTCCTGTTGCTCTGTCTCTGCAGGCAGGCTCCACCTTGAAGGATGAGATGGTGGTTTCCATAGCAACAGGCCTGGTCTCCGTCACCTCCCGAGCCTCCATGACGGTGCTGGTGATTGGTGGAGTGGTACGTCCTGCAGGGCTGACCATTACTTTCATTATTGATTAATCTGGTGACTGATTGATTGTTCTATGAAACAGTGTGATAGAAAAGACAGACGTCTTCAGTCCTCTCAGGTGTGTCTTTCAGGTGTGTCTCAGGTGTGTGTCTTACAGGTGTCTCTCAGGTGTGTGTTTCTAACATGTGTCTCAGGTGTCTCTCAGGTGTGTGTCTCAGGTGTGTGTTGTTGCTGCAGGTGTGGCGATCGGTGGGCTGGCGTCTCATCGCTCTCTCTTTGTCTCTGTACGGTCTAATCTACCTGTACGAGAAACTCACCTGGACTGACGCCAGCAGGGAGCGCGCTCTGAAGCAGCAGTTTGTGGAGCACGCCGCCCGCCGCCTGAGAACCGTCATCCCAACCACCAGCTCCGCCTGCAGCCAGCAGGTGTACAAGTAAGACCCTGCCCCCACCTGACCCTCGCAGTCACTGCCCACTCACCTGAGATCATGTAACAGCGAGTGTGTTGCCGCAGGGAGTTGTCGTCCACCTTCAGCCGTCTGACCCAGAGAGTCGACCTGAGCGAGGCCGAGCTGGAGGGAAACATCCGACAGCTGAGCTTCAGGATCCAGAGACTGGAGAACATCCAGAGGAGGTCCAAGGCCTTCAGGTCAGAGGCCCCGCCCCCTGCTTCCTGTGTCTTTGCTAAGCTAAGCTAACAGCAGCTCCACCACTGATAAGAAATTAATAAGAAATAAACAAAAGTTAAATAAATAACCACATGAGCTGCATGACACACCATGGTAATGATTAATGAAGAACCTGTTCATGTTCGAGCAGAACTAAAAACGAGGATTAAACTGAAACCAAACCAGAGCATGGTGTTACCATGGAGACAAGCAGAGAGGTCAGGCAGACAGACTGCTTACAATACCTTATTAAAATGTAATATGAATGTATATGTATGTATGTATGTATATATATGTAAATGATCTCTAACGTGACAGTATAGACACAGAGCTCTGTGTGGAGTTATCTGTGATCACATGATGATGAATTCATTATCTGCTTTCATCAGATCTGATCCAACATTATTATTTTGTTTACAAACAGGAAATGAAGGAGGAAATAAAAATGAAAAATCAAAAGTCCCAAACTCACAATCACTGACCAGGTGATGTCATCTAAGTCTGTTAGGGGTGGTCTTAGGGGGGTCAGTGTTAGTGTATTGGGTCTTAGGGGGTCAGGGTTCAGGGTTCAGGTCTTAGGGGGGTCAGGGTTCAGGTCTTAGGGGGGTCAGGGTTCAGGGTTCAGCTCTTAGGGGGTCAGTGCGATTGAACCTCGCACTTTGTGTTTTACAGGAACAGAGCCACAGAACTGGAGACTCGGCTGGAGGCCTTCTCTGTTCAGTACCTGCAGTGACCTGTGGATGAGCTGCGCCCCCTGGTGGTGGAGTCCGTCATCACCAGACCTCCACCCACGTGTCAGGTGGTGACCAGCAGCTGGACCTGAAGGTGTACTCCTCATCAGACCTGGGTGCGTCCGCTGGACCTGACCAAGAAAACTGAACTGAGACTGTCTTTAGTCCAGAGGCAGGACACTGACCTCCATCATCTCTGACTCCACACTGTGAGGAAGTGATCACTTCTATGGATGACTCAACTGTAGACGATCAATAAAAATCTGGTGTTTAGTTGTAGTGATGACATCATCAGATGAAAACACCTGAAGTCTCTGACTCTGTTCTTTATTATTTCATTTAGTTCATGTTGCAGACACATGGGCACCACAGCTCATGGTGTTTATCAGTAATAATAATAATAATGACAATATTAATCCCTATGGAGGGAGAATGATCTCAGGAGCCCTGACGAAGAACGAGTTACATAAAAGGTCATAGTATAGTAAGGCATAAAAACTCATTATAGTAAGGCATAAAACGTCATAGTATAGTAAGGCATAAAAAGTAATCTTAGAGTAAGACATAAAAAGTCGTAGAATAGTAAGGCATAAAACGTCAGAATAATAAGGCATAAATAGTCATAGTATCGTAAGGCATAAAAAGTCATAGTATAGTAAGACACAAAGAGTCATATTACATTAAGGCATAACAAGTCATAGTATAGTAAAGCATAACAAGTCATAGTATAGTAAGACATAAGAAGTCATAGTATAGTAAGGCATAAAAAGTCATAGCTTAGTAAGACATCAAAAGTCATGGTATAGTAAGGCATGAAACGTCATAGTATAGTAAGGCATAAAAAGTCATAGTAAGGCATAAAGAGTCATAGTAGAGTAAGGGATAAAAAATCATATTACAGTAAGGCATAAAAACTCAGTATACTAAGGCATAAAAAGTCAGTATAGTAAGGCATAAAAAGTTATATTACAGTAAGGCATTAAAACTCATAGTATAGTAAGGCATAAAAAGTCATAAAAATGACATTGTATAGTAAGGCATAAAAAATCATAATAAAGTCATAGTATAGTAAGGCATAAAAAGTCATAAAAACGTATTAGTATGGTAAGGCATAAAAAGTCCCAATATAGAAAAGCATAAAAAGTCATAAAAAAGTCACAGTATAGTAAGAAAAAAAGTCATAGTATAGTAAGGCGTAAAAAGTCATAAAAACGAATTAGTATGGTAAGGCATAAAAAGTCCCAATATAGAAAAGCATAAAAAGTCATAAAAAAGTCACAGTATAGTAAGAAAAAAAGTCATAAAAACAACAGTATACTAAGGCATAAAAAAGTCATGGTATCGTACGTCATAAAAAGTCATGGTATCGTACGTCATAAAAAGTTATTAAAAAGTCATAGTATAGTAAGGCATAAAAAGTCATAAAAATGACATAGTATAGTAAGGCATAAAAAGTCATAGTATAGTAAGGGATAAAAAGTCATAGTTTAGTAAAGGCATGAAAAGTCATAGTATATTAAGGCATAAAAAGTCAAAAAAAGCCATAGTATAGCAAGGCATAAAAAGTCATAAAAAAGCCATAGTGTAGTAAGGCATAAAAAGTCATAGTTTAGTAAAGGCATGAAAAGTCATAAAAAAGCCATAGTATAGCAAGGCATAAAAAGTCATAAAAAAGCCATAGTATAGTAAGGCATAAAACGTCCCAATATAGTAAGGCAAAAAAAGTTATAAAGAAGTCATAGTATAGTAAGGCATAAAACGTCATAAAAACGACATAGTATAGGAGGGCATAAAAAGTCATAGTATATTAAGGCATAAAAAGTCATAAAAACAACATAGTATAGTAAGGCATAAAAAGTCATAAAAAAGTCATAGTATAGTAAGGCATAAAAAATCATAAAAATGTCCCGATATAGTAAGGCAAAAAAAGTTATAAAAAAGTCATAGTATAGTAAGGCATAAAACGTCATAAAAACGACATAGTATAGGAGGGCATAAAAAGTCATAGTATATTAAGGCATAAAAAGTCATAAAAACAACATAGTATAGTAAGGCATAAAAAGTCATATAAAAGTCATAGTATAGTAAGGCATAAAAAGTCATATTATTGTAAGGCATAAAAAGTCATAAAAACAACATAGTATAGTGAGGCATAAAAAGTCATAAAAAAGTCATAGTATAGTAAGGCATAAAAAGTCATAAAAAAGTCATAGTATAGTAAGGCATAAAAAGTCATAAAAAAGTCATAGTATAGTAAGGCATAAAAAGTAAAAAAAAAGTCATAGTATAGTAAGGCATAAAAAGTCATATTATAGTAAGGCATAAAAAGTCATAAAAATGACATAGTATAGTAAGGCATAAAAAGTCATAGTATAGTAAGGCATAAAAAGTCCAAATATAGTAAGGCATAAAAAGTCATAAAAAAGTCATAGTGTAGTAAGGCATAAAAAGTCATAAAAAAGTCATAGTATAGTAAGGCATAAAAAGTAAAAAAAAAGTCATAGTATAGTAAGGCATAAAAAGTCATATTATAGTAAGGCATAAAAAGTCATAAAAATGACATAGTATAGTAAGGCATAAAAAGTCATAGTATAGTAAGGCATAAAAAGTCCAAATATAGTAAGGCATAAAAAGTCATAAAAAAGTCATAGTATAGTAAGGCATAAAAAGTCATAAAAAAGTCATAGTGTAGTAAGACATAAACAGTCATAGTATAGTAAAGCATAAAAAGTCATAAAAAAGTCATAGTATAGTAAGGCATAAAAAGTCATAAAAACGACATAGTATAGGAAGGCATAAAAAGTCATAGTATAGTAAGGCATAAAAAGTCATAAAAAAGTCATAGTATAGTAAGGCATAAAAAGTCATAAAAAAGTCATAGTATAGTAAGGCATAAAAAGTCCAAATATAGTAAGGCATAAAAAGTTATAAAAAAAAGTCATAGTATAGTAAGGCATTAAAAGTCATAATAAAGTCGCAGTGTAGTAAGGCATAAAAAGTCATACTATGTTAAGGCATAAAAAGTCATAAAAACAACATAGTATAGTAAGGCATAAAAAGTCATGAAAAAGTCATAGTATAGTAAGGCATAAAAAGTCATGAAAAAGTCAGTATAGTAAGGCATAAAAAGTCATAAAAAAGTCATAGTATAGTAAGGCATAAAAAGTCATAAAAACAACATAGTATAGTAAGGCATAAAAAGTCATAAAAAAGTCATAGTATAGTAAGGCATAAAAAGTCCCAATATAGTAAGGCATGAAAAGTCACAAAAAAGTCATAGTATAGTGAGGCATAAAAAGTCATGAAAAAGTCATAGTATAGTAAGGCATAAAAAGTCATAAAAACGACATAGTATATTAAAGCACAAAAAGTCATAAAAAAGTCATAGTATAGTAAGGCATAAAAAGTCATAAAAACGACATAGTATAGGAAGGCATAAAAAGTCATTAAAAAGTCATAGTATAGTAAGGCATAAAAAGTCATAAAAACGACATAGTATAGGAAGGCATAAAAAGTCATTAAAAAGTCATAGTATAGTAAGGCATAAAAAGTCATAAAAACGACATAGTATAGGAAGGCATAAAAAGTCATAAAAAAGTCATAGTATAGTAAGGCATAAAAAGTCATTGTATATTCATAGGCATAAAAAGTCATAGGCACAACATATTATAGTAAGGCATAAAAAGTCATAAAGAAGTCATAGTATAGTAAGGCATAAAAAGTCATGAAAAAGTCATAGTATAGTAAGG